ATAATGATAATCATGATCACCGTGATCACGCTCCTGCCTGGCCCCATCCTCCTTCTCCCCCCGCCCTCCCCTCTCAGTGCCCCCGCGTACGTCCTCCTCCGGGGTTGGCTCCGGAACCGCAAGTGCCGCATGGCCTTCCCAAGGCTCCAGCTTCAGCTGCTGTTGTGGCTGTGGCTGCGGCTGTGGCTCCTCCCCCTCCCCGGCCACCTTTGATTTCGCCTGCGCCTCCTGGGGCGGCGGTGGGGGTGGTGGCGGCGGCGATTGCGACTCCGCCGTCAAAGAGTCGAGAAGCAATGGCTTCGCTACTGCTGCGGCCGCTGCTGCTGCTGTCGCCAAGTCATGCTCTAACTCCACCGCCACCGTCTCCACCGCCGCTGCCACTCCCTCCATCCCCACCACCCCCGTCCCCACCGCCTCCGCCACCGTTGCATTCCCCTCTGCCGCTTCCACGACCTCCGCTTCCGCTGCTGCCACCTTCTCCCCCTCCGCCTCCTCTTCCGCCTCCCCCTTCTTCAGCAGCAGCAGCAGCTCCGGGTTCCTCTCGAGCAACATGTGACCGCTCAAGAGGCCGCCCAACACACGAATGACGGTCTCGAAGACGTGCACCTGGGCGGAAACACATGCAAAGTCGAGGAGAAATAAAAGGCGGGAGAATACTGAAGGAACACACACACACAGACATACACACACAGAGACACACACACACACAGAGACACTCACACACACAGAGACACACACACACATACAGGCATACACACACACCTCCGGACATCGCCAGAGGGTGTAGGGTGGGGAACGGGGATGGGCTTAGCTGTTGTAGGCGCCGTTTGGATTTGGGTTTCCTCTGAAACAAAATACGTGACGTGGTTGTTGACAGGGCGTTTTTGCGCCACAATAACTGCAATCCCCTCCCTGCCTCCATCTGGGTCGGGTCCCGTTCAGCGGTTTCCCCCCCCCCTTACCCCTCCAATTCCCCTCACCCCACCCGCCTACCCACCCCACCCCCTCCTCACGTAGATCTACCTTGGTATCTTTATCGAAGTTGAGGTGCTTCCGAATCAGGTCCACGGACTCGGCCACGTCATGGCGGCGGTTGAGGACCTGAGGCATGAGAGGCCAGGGGAGAGGCCAGGGGAGAGGCCAGGGGAGAGGCCAGGGGAGAGGAGGGGAGGGCAAGGGGGAGTGGAAGTGAGGTGAGGAACAGGTGGGAGGAAAGGTCGAAGAAGCGACTGCCAACACAACGTCCTGGACACCAACCCCGCCAGATCCCAAAGCGATGGGGCACCCCTGCCCCTTAGTCGCACGGAAGCGCAGCCCCATAACGTTATAGACAGGGGGCGGGGAATCATATGTAAGCAAGGAAACAAGGAATGGACTGCCGGAAGGCGTCCAAAGATGGGCGGGGACGGCGGTAAAGGGGAAAAAGGGGAACGGGGGGAGGGTTGGCTAAGGAACGGACAGGCAAGCCTAAAAGAGCTCCGCACGGTTTCTATGTCTCTTCCTTAACTCTCCTACCCATCTTCCGTTGTGCCCTTCATACACCAAACCCACTTCCCTCACTACGCTTGCCGCCTTCTCCTCTCCTCTTCCTTGTCTACCTCTCTTCCTTACTCTCTTTCCTGCCCCTCTCTCCCTTTTCCCCTCCCCCTGTCCACCTACCACCAGCGCATCCAGCGCATCCACCAAGGTGATGGCCAAGCCCCCCTGCCAGTCCTTGCCACCGCAACTGATGGGGAGCAGGTTGTCCTGGGGGGGAGATGGGGATGGGGGGAAATGCCAGGTAGCAGTAGCGGTGGCAGTTGCATGGTTGCTGCAACAAGAGTCGGTTTCGGAGTGCCGGACCATCTTCCATCTACAGACCTTGCCCATGCTGCGCGGAGAAGGAGAAAAACCTATATTGGGGCCTTCCCTTTCGCCCTGGACGACGCAGTGATCTCGCTCCCTTTCTCGTCGCAAGACGTTTTCCCGCCTTTTTGCTTTTGGTGCTAATTTGAATCCTCAGCTCCGAGATCCAGGAATCCAAACTGTTTAGCTGAATGGACCCAGATATCCTGGCTTCATCAGCGGAGCCAGACCTAGGTTGAACCGAATGCTGCACTTGCCATTGGGAAGGCGTGCTTCATGTAGTTATTGAAGCCGTGGTCAAACATTTCCCAGGCTTGCTGCCTGCAAGGATTGGCACCGGGGGGGGATCTGAGTAAGCGGCGTTTGGTGCATGGCACCGGAGCGAGAGGAAAAGGGTGACGCGGGGGGGGTGCGATGAAGGGGCCCAGGCCAGAGGCGCGATCTGCACGAGCGCTTACCTAAGTTCCTCCACCTGCGTCTCGTTAAGAGCACTTTCGTCATCCCAGATCGCCTGCATGTGTCAGGTGGCAGGGGATGACCAGCGGGTAGAAATTCCAGGGGAGTGCACACCAAGAATATCCAAAGGTTTTGATCACATCAACAGCATTTCCTGACCTTGACCTCTCTCCCTGGCTTCCCGGCACTAACGAGTTGCAGGAGGCCTAGCCCGAAGGCCATGGCCACGGCAAGCTGGCGCAACATACTGTAGTCAAAATTGTTCACATATGTTACCATATCTGTATACTTAAAGAAAGTACGCGGTTCGAAAAATGGTTTACAATTTCGCTGTAATAATCTTTTTCAGAACGCAGCGAGGGACACCAATTCAAACCCTACATGGCTCCTTAATGGTTATCCTGTTCGCAAAACACGCACGCGAGCGATTGAGCTTGTACCTAGGAATGCTTACGTTGTCGATTTTTCCCAGGGGCAGGGCTAGAATTGTGTACGGCGTCGAACACGAACAGACGCGCAGCCAATTCGTCAGTCGACTATCTGATAAAAGTTTTACGAGTATAGCATCTTTAGTTTGAAATCATGCTCGTGCCAAGGACTTCCTCCCTTATCCCTGGGCAACACATGCCTCGCGGCGCGCTTGGCGTGCCGCTTGCTCCAAGGCCCTTGCAACCTCAACGAAGTGTCGTGATTGCCTTTGGTGAGCGCCGCTCTGCTAATAGGACGAAATGGGCGACTTCCGAGCCGCCGGCGACGCAAGAGTCAGTCGTCGACGGGCCTGCGCAGGAGCTCTCCGTCGCTGATCACGTACGTGCACAAAACTTGGCCAATTGAGTCCTATGTTAAACTCGTGGCCGAGCTGACAAAGTCTTGTAAAGATAGGAGGAGTAGACCGCACGGACAACAGAAGTGTAAGTTGATGGTCGTTACAGCTCGTGGCTGCAATTGCGACTGGTACATTTGCGCCCTGAGGAAGAGATTCAGCCAATTTATGTCCTACCATAAATTTGTCTGTTAGAAACGCTAACTGCTTAGCGGCCATGCCAGGAGCGTCACCCATCGCCCGGTTCGCCGGATGATTGTGTTGTCGCATCCGAAGCATCTTGCGCGTTGGGCACCAGGTCAAACACTCCCCCCCCCTCCCCTCCACGTCCTTCCCTTCCTTCCGAAACTCTCTCAGTCACCTGGCCCTGACTCAAACATGCCCGTCTTTTGGAGTCCCCGTCTTTTCGGCCGTCCCACAACTTGTGTGGCTTCCCTTCCCCTCTGCCGCTCTTTTTCACCAAATCCAAATCCCCCTTACCTCTCAAAATCCCCCGCATTCCCCCGTCCCCTCCCCTGCCCTCCCCACCCTCGCAGATCTGGTGTTGCTCACAGGACCTGGCCCCCGTGTTTTCTGAGGTCGACCGCCTGGTGGCGGCCAATGTCCGCAAGGTCCAGAAGGCCTTTCGCGACCACCGCATAGGGCCCCACCACTTCCAGGGCTCCACGGGTTACGGACACGGCGACCTGGGCAGGGAGGCGCTGGATGCGGTGAGGGCGTCTGTTTAATAGGGGGGAAGTGCACCGGGCATTGGGGTGGGGGGGGGGAAGGAGGGGGGAGAGGGGAGGAAAGGGAGGGAAGGGGATTATTTGATGATGCACAGGGAAGGAAGCACAGGGGGTCAACTTTGCCAATACGCGTCCCAATACACGTCCATTACACGTCCAAGCAGCACCAGCTGCATGAGGAAAGTCAAAAAGAAGGAAAGGGAGGGTGACTGCTAAGGTCGGGGAAATGCGGGTACGGGGGGAAGGGAAGGGAAGGGAAATCATGTCATATGCGGACAAAGGAAACAAGGGATGAACTGCTGGAGGGCGTCCGAAGTCCGAAACTGCCCCCAGTGGGTGAGTGAGTCCTAAGCAAAAGGGGGGGAGGAGGTGAGGGGAGG